GTTGATACTACCCAAAGCAATCTACATATTCAATGCAATCCCTATCAAAATAACACCAGCATTCTTCACAGAGCTAGAACAAACAATCCTGAAATTTGTATGGAACCAGAAAAGACCCCAAATAGCCAAAGCAATCTTGAAAAAGAAAACCAAAGCTGGAGGCATCAAGATCCCGAACTTCAAGCTGTATTACAAAGCTGTAATCATCAAGACAGTAGGTACTGGCACAAAAATACTCAGATCTGTTGCAGGGAGTATGGCCAGAGTCGCAAAAGATGAATCCGCAAACAAAGTGCAGTTAAGTGAAGGTCCTCATACTCGAGTGGGAATGAGGCCCCAACTCCAGAATGAAGCTTCTTTTTATTAGGATAATTGCTAAAGACTATGTGCATAAAATCAGCTAAGCAAGTGTGTTAATCAATCTAATGGTTTGGCTTTTCAAGGTTGAATTTCAAGTTAATTGGTTTCTATAACACTAGGAAGGGTCAGGTGTGAAGGAGGATCTGGCTCTGGACAATGTTAATGGCTCTAGGTGTTCCTTAGGAGCCACAGCCACGTTCAGCTGTGTAAACATGTCCTAAGGCCTTGCATCTTCTCCAGCCCTTCCAATTTGAAGTCTTTTCCTTTGATGCTTCTCTCCTGTATCTCCCACACAGATCAGTGGAGCAGAATAGAGAACCCAGAAACGGACCCACAAACATATGGCTAACTAATCTTTGACAAAGCAGGAAAGAATATCCAATGGAATAAAGACAGTTTCTTCAGCAAGTGGTGCTGGGAAAACTGGACAGTGACATGCAGAAAAATATAATTGGACCACTTTCTTACACCTTACACAAAAATAAACTCAAAATGGATGAAAGCCCTAAATGTAAGACAGGAAGCCATCAAAATACTCGAGAAGAGAACAGGCAAAAACCTCTTTGACCTTGGCCACAGCAACTTCTTACTAAACACGTCTCCAGAGGCAAGGGAAACAAAAGCAAAAATGAACTATTGGGACCTCATCAAAATAAAACTTCTGCACAGCCAAGGAAACAATCAGCAAAACTAAAAGGCAACGGACGGAATGGGAGAAGATACTTGCAACAGACGTATCAGTTAAAGGGTTAGTATCCAAAATCTATAAGGAACTTATCAA